AAACTGCCCCTGAAAAGGTAAAAACCGTCCAAGAGTACTCGGAAACATTGTTCGAGCTGAGGTAATTTTTAGGCTTAGCCAGTTACTACAGCTGTTTTGTCAAAGATTTCGTTGCAGTTGCAAGGCCAATAACAAATTTGCTAAAAGCCAAAGACTATCATCGAGTTTGATGATGTGCAATGGGACGCATTCGAAAGGCTTAGAAATATTTTAGCTTCAGAAGACGTCATACTCAGTTATCCTGATTTGCGAAAACCATTCGATCTAACGACGAATGCTTCTGTATATGGTGTCGGTGCGGTACTGTCACAAGAAGGTAAGCCCATCACAATGACATCAAGAACTCTAAAAGGTAACGAAACGCATTTCGCAACAAAGGAAAGAAAACTTTTGGCCATATTATGGGCGTTGGGTAATCATCAGCCACTCAGCTTCGCTGTGTCGGATAGAAACCCAAACGACAAGATAAAAAGATGGAAAGCGTATATAGATGAACACAATGCAAACATTTTTTAAAAGCCAGGCAAAGAAAACCATGTAGCGGATGGGCTTTCGCGGCAAAACGTAAATGCTTTGCAAAATGAAATAGAATCCGATGTAGCCATTCATAATGAGCTATCACCTATACGATGGAAACCACAGACAAGCCGCTTAAATAATTCTAGAGAAGTCACAATTTCCGGTTAAACGGACATTTGTACTATTTCGAGAAAAAGTGCGGCACACCATCTATTTCTCAAACGATGACGAGGTCCTCCAGGTAATAAAAAAGGTGGTGCAACCAAGCCTCAAAAACGCGATTCAGTGCGGGCTGCACACCTTAGCACTCCTACAGAACGAACAAGTTATAGCTTTTCTGTTAACATAATTTTGGCACTGCAAAAATCTAGTGACAGATGTCACTAACAGAACCGAATGAAGAGAAATAGGAATAGCTGAACATAACCGCGCCCATAGATCGGCCCAAGAGAATGTAAAACAAATCCTTGGCGATGACTATTTCCGAAAAATATCAAAACTCTTAACGGAGGTAATTGCAAACTGTAAAGTCTGCACTCGCGCTAAATATGTGAGACATCCCAAAAAACAGGAACTAGGTATAACACCGATACCATTATATGCGGGAGAAATGCTCCATATTGACAAGTTTTCCAAGCTGGCTAGAACACATCCGATCATCTCAAGAACAATAGCAGATATCAAGGTCCCAATTATTCAACTTGTGAATAATTTCCCCAAAATCAGAACAATTCATTGCGACATCGAAGCCGCATTCAATTCAGAAACTATGATGTCGTCAATGCGCCGCCGCTGCATAGCACATCCAATGGGCAGGTGGAACGCTTCCCCAGCACGCTCCCAGAGATCGCTAGATGCCTCAAGATGGAAAAAAAATTTGACGGCACCATAGAACTAATAATGCACGCGAATATTAAATACAACCGGACGATTCGGGTTAAGAGTCAAAAGTGACAATAAGAAAAAACATAGTTAGTGCCCAGCAGACCCAACTAGAGAGAAACAATCCAAATCTCACCAAATAAGGTTTTCGCAGTAGAAAAAAAAGTATTTGCAAAATCAAATAGAGGGCTAGGGATCAAGCTAGCCCCTTTATTTACAGAGACCTGGGAACGGCTGTTTTTACTGAAGGGAGTGTGGTCCATAAGGACAACCTTAGGTAGCGTTAGTCTTCTTACTCCAAATAGGTTTCTTACTCCCAAAATATTTTTTAATTAGTTTTTTCCTGTAGGGTTATCGGCTTGATTATTGTCCTTCTAGCAGGAGCAAATGCTCGGATCACTGACTATGCTCACTCCAGGTACATACCGATAGTTGAAGGCGATGTACTAGTATGGGTGCAGAGAGGCTACGTTAGACATAGTAGTATTCTAACGGAGTTCGCCGCAATAAGAAACGAAACAGGCAAACTGTCCGAGACTTTTCCGCAATCCCACAAGCGTAAATTACTAGACGTGGATTTATACCATGTAATGAGCCGGTTGTCCGTCTTAAGGGTGCATCACAGAATCGCCAGGAGTTTAGATTTTCTAAGTACGGCACTGAAGTTTGTAGCCGGCACACCAGATGCCGCAGATTTAGATATGATTAAAGTTGATGATTATCCAAAAATTAAGTCCGTCTGTAGAAAAGTTACCATTTTGCCTGTGTTACATAGACACGAAGATCTTCAACTACAGGACGACATCGTAGGCGAGTGCAACAGCGAAATACTGGCAGTCACCAACTGTGATGCAACCACCTACGCATCAATCTGCAAATTGTCTCATCACGACACTTTCGCACGCGGCCTACATTCTGGGTGGACGGCACACTGTCGCACTCAGCCGAGCCACTTGAAACCAATCACTGTTATAGATGATGGTATCATAGTGGTAAATAAGAATCCCGCAAGGGTCAGTACAGATGAAGGGCCAGAAATATCAATAAACCAGTCTTATCTGATAACATTCGACCGTTCGGCCATGGTCAATAGCGTCAAGTACATCAACCAGCGCGAGGCCTTAAGTAAGATGCCGGGTATTGTGGCTTCCCGTTTACGCAACATAATAAACCACGAGCCGAACCTTAGTTTGCCACTTCTGCACAGGATGAATTTTGAAAACCCTAATACCATCCGAGGTTTGCGAGAAAGAATGGACGCCGTGGGATCGCCCAAGGCGTGGTGCGCTGCGGGACTTGGACTCAGCCTTGTGCTTAGTGCCTTCATCTTCTTCGTTCAACGGAGAAAGCGAGCTTCGAAGGAGATTCAGAAGGTCGTCGAGAGCTTTAAGATGGACGACGACGCCCATGTTTCAAAAGGGGGAGTAGTTAACGAATGCCCCTCGCGCGCAACAGTTTGACACTTTATTGTCAACCAGAACATTTACCAACAGTTGCGAGCATGATGCTGACACAACGGATTCTTGGTGGCCAGTGCTCTGACCGAAATGTACAGCGTCGGTAAACTGAGCCCTTGCCTGTGTCGCAAGAACAGCGTTATCGTTTGTGCTTAGTCGGCTTGCCGACTGCTGTTGCAAAAGCTACATTCTAATTATTGTTATGCACCAGCCGCTGTGGCTTCTAGTTCTTAAGTTCAAGTCTGTTCACACATTCAAAAAGAGCACTGCTTCTGAAATACATTATTCCTACATATATTATGAAAAAATATCAACCACAGCGACGTTGTGCATTGAGCGAGATACGGCTTGGTACTGATCATTCGGCTCTCGAGGCTCGGCGTTCGGCAGCCACTCTCAGCAGTGTTTCTCCCTCTGTGGCCATAACAAAATGGTCGCGAGCACTCATGGGGCTCACTCGCATTAGGAATTCTTGTCAGTAAGATCACAGTAAGATCTTAACAGTCAATAACAACATATAAATACTACTTGATGTATCTATGCATGCATAATTCACATATGCAAATATATGTTAGTAGTGGTACGCCATTGGATTAGACAAGGTTTTCTCTTTAGCATACACTGTGCAAAAATATAAGTCAACCTATTTGAAGTGGGCTATTGCATGACGATCGCCAAGCGTACGTACAAAGCTTATCAGCTTAGTTTACTTTAAAAACAAGTAAGAGGTTCTAGTCGGGAGCTCCCGGCTAGGGGATACCCTGAACCCTCTTATTCCAACACCAAATGTAGCTCGCGCTATGCGCTCGCTTGCTTAAGTCGTAATAAAGATAATACAAAAAAAAAAAGGTTCCCTTGGCAGGGTTCAAACTCGCAACTGACCGCAATACTTGCCGCCGCCTCTACTCAAGAGCCAAATCAAAAACAATACAATCGCAATTGCATTGCTGTTGATAGAAAGCAAAGCAGACGCGCATGAATGTGTGTGTGTTCATGAATACACAAATTCTTGGAATTTGTGCTAGCTGCTGCTAAAACGTGTGCACATAACTTTTGTGTTTCTTAACCGATCTTAATGAAGTTTTCGACAGTACACCTTATTGTAGAATAGAATATAGAATATTTGTGTATTCTCAAAAAGTAAATTGCATATAAATTGTGGCTTAAATTGATTGGCAATACTAGTTGGATTATTAACTTGATTTATAGCTTTCTGGTGGTAGCGGGGATGTGGCGTTAGGTATAAAATAAAAGATACTTGATATATATATATACTATTCTTGAAGCTACATGTCAAGATTGGTGACTCTAGCTCTTATTATTTACCGAAATTGCTCAAAAAACAGAATTTCGCTATCGATTTTTATCGATTACTTGGAAACGGGGAAAGTTATCGAATATCGGAAACAAACTTGACCTGCGCGGGCACTAGGAGGACCTACATACCAAATTTCAGTCTTTAGCTCTTATAGGTTCTGAGACCCTTGCGTTCATACATACGGACAGATATGCTGACATGGCTAGATCGACTCGGGAATTAATGCTTTTCAAAAATTTATGTATATACTTTATGGGGTCGGAAATGCTTCCTTCTGCCTGTTACATACATTTGCACAAATACATTTTGACCCATTTTTAATGGGTTCAGGGTATAATTAAACTATTCAGATCACTGCCGCCCAGGCTTACTGGAGGCAGGCGGAAATCTGTAAGAGTGTAGTTTTCACGTCAGTTACTTATAGCACTTCCTATCGATAGTAATACTGATCAGAGAGCAACCATTAAACATAATATGCATTCCTTTGTGCTCCGCCAAAACTGACTTTCATACCTATCCAATAAATTTGGGAAAGTCAATCATGCACTAACTGAGGTCAGTCCACATCTATGCTAATGAACCAAAACTTTGTGTGGATGTGTGATGTTTTAGCTTTTAATTTGCCGACCATTAAACAATTAGAATACTGCTCGCATATTACTTGTCCACCAAATTCCCGACTTTGAAAAGCTTAAAATTGAACGGTCCCACCTTAAGCCCTCTTATTAAACCCTTGAGATGAGAAAGGCCGGGTAATACCGGCTAATAATAAATAAAGTGTTAATATATTCAATTAATAGAGTAAACATTTATTTCAGGATATGTATTTTAATTGCCCAACAGTCAATTAAATTGAATAGCAGCGAACTAGCATTCAATCTTTTTGAGGATTGCATTAAATACACTCCAAATGATCTTGAGATTTTAGTCACTCTGGCAGAGCTCCAAATGGAATCAAAGAAAATGGACATGTGTCGTAACACTTGCCAGCAGATACTTAAAATTGATGGCAGCAACGAGTCAGCCTCAGTGTTGATGGCAGACTTGTCCTTTAGAAAGGTATGTAACCAAATTAAAAATATGGTTTGTTTACAATAATTGCAAGCCATTTAAATGCATAGAGTTTAAGAAACTGATGATTTAAAATATTCATATAATGTGAATGTGAATATTAAAATTTCTATTAGAAGTTATTTAAAACGACAGCCTCCTATCCCTGTACGTCATACATATATACATACATACAAAAATATAATATGAATAGTGCTGCATGCGGTAATATTTTTTTAAATCTTTATATTCACAATAAAGAATTCAATTCGATGCACAAATAAAACTATAATTTGTATTACAGCGATGTGCTCCTTTCAATACAATCTTGAGAACTACTTAAAGCGAAAGAAACTTGTTAGCATGAAGCCTCGGTCTTTTGCCAATGGCGTATGTAATATGATATAGAGTTTTTCTTAGTAGGCAAATTGTTCTGCAGCTGGTGATAGGGCTCGCCGGACCAACCATGCTTATGCTACGATGACAAAAATTAATGTTTATTTGATGGGCTTGCTGGATCAATTATAAATGTATTCTCTGCGCCATGCTCACATTGAGTAACCCTCGTGAGCGGGTACAAAGAGCAATTATATTTTGTAGCAGCTGAATTTGCTTTCGAGAACACCCTCGTTAATTTTGCCTATTTGTAGTCATAATTTTGTAAAATCTATTCTGGAGTTTAGATTTATTTTTGTCTACAATATAGATGACAATGAATATTATAAATATTGCTAACACCACTAACCAAAGAACATATAGATGGGACGTGCCGTACAAGAAATGTGGGCACTAAAAAACTGATTTGGCTTACTCTCTTCCATATGATTTGTGAGATAGAACGGCATCGCTGGTTATTTTTATCTCGCTCGCACTTACTCTCAGTGCTCTCAATGCCCTCTTTATGTCTAGATACCGTTCAGTATGAAGCCGCATCTCGCTCAGCGCACAACGCCGCTGCGGCTGATGCTATTTCTTAATATACATATAAAAGTTAGTTTTAAATCCTTACAGCCCAAATATGCGTATGCATGTGCAGAGTTTGCCTCGCTCCCACTTATTGCTTTGCGCGCTTGTGTGCGTCTCTTTCTCTCTGCATAGCTTCTCAAAAACCCCGAGATCTACGAACATACATATGTTTGTGTTGTGTAGATGTGCGCACAAGTAGATCACGGCGTTTGTCGCGAGCCAGAGATATTTTTTTCAATTGTGTGCCCTTTGTGCCTGTGGTAGCAAACGGCACACACATTCAAATGCTCTATCATATATTTATTGGTCCGGTCAGGCATAATGAGAAGAATCTGATCTATTTTCATTAAATAAAAACTTAAATGACCTAAATGAAATACTTATATTTTATATTCTAATTTTTTTGTTTACTGGGGGACCTATTTTGCTTAAAATAAAAAAATAACTAAGTCGTATTTCTGCAAGGGTAAATCGTCGTCGGCTTGTCGAAGAATTCTAAGAAAAGACCAAAAATTGAACAGTTTCAAATTTTGCGACTTGCTACCTGTGCATAATATTATAAAAGGGTTTAGCCTGTTCATATGCAAAATTGCTGTTTTCCATGCTTGTTGTTGGTAAGAGTACCTGAACGTAGTATGATAACTTTTTGGGCCGGCTAAGCATGAACACTTACACATTTTTCTATATGGATGGAAGCATTTGTGCGTTTGTGTGTCTGTTGGTTGCCTGCCTGTTCGATGCAAATTTGTAGATTTGAAGTTTTAGGCATTTCTGAACCAACAGACACACAAACGCACAAGCATGGAAAACAGCAATTTTGCATATGAACAGGCTAAACCCTTTTATAATATTATGCACAGGTAGCAAGTCGCAAAATTTGAAACTGTTCAATGTTTGGTCTTTTCTTAGAATTCTTCGACAAGCCGACGACGATTTACCCTTGCAGAAATACGACTTAGTTATTTTTTTATTTTAAGCAAAATAGGTCCCCCAGTAAACAAAAAAATTAGAATATAAAATATAAGTATTTCATTTAGGTCATTTAAGTTTTTATTTAATGAAAATAGATCAGATTCTTCTCATTATGCCTGACCGGACCAATAAATATATGATAGAGCATTTGAATGTGTGTGCCGTTTGCTACCACAGGCACAAAGGGCACACAATTGAAAAAAATATCTCTGGCTCGCGACAAACGCCGTGATCTACTTGTGCGCACATCTACACAACACAGACATATGTATGTTCGTAGATCTCGGGGTTTTTGAGAAGCTATGCATTAATTAATATCTAGTCGACAATCGTATATTTTTATACCCTGAACCCATTGAAAATCTCTATATATAAAACTGTTTGTCCTGACTGACTGACTGACTGACTGACTGACTGACTGACTGACTGACTGACTGACTGATTGGTGATCAACGCACAGCCCAAACCCTAAGAGCTAGGAAGCTGAAATTTTCACTGTAGCTACCTTATGTGATGTAGGTGCACGTTAAGACGGGGTTTCGGGAAATTCCACTCGCAAGTGTGGAAAAATCGCGAAAAACGTTTATATGTAACTTTTTTGTTTACCATCGGATTGGCCTCAAACTTATTTTCAAAGATCTTTGTTCAAATTCATTTGAGGGGTGTTTCACACTTTTAGGAAAATCCATTCCTCCTTGGTGGAAATGGAGGTCAAAGATTTGGTGGGTGACGTTTCGCGCTCAAATTCATTTCCAGTGATCTATATGAAAAATCATTTGAGACGTGTTTCTCACTTTTCGCAGAATTCAAACTTCTTCGGGGGGAATGCGATTTAAAGATTTTTTGGGCGGCGTTTTTAGTTGTGTCCGATTTGCTTCAAACTTATTTTTAAAGCTCTTTATAAGAACTTAATAAACACGTATTTCAGCGATTTGGAAAATTCCACCCGCAACAGTGGTAAATTGGCGGAAAACGGTTGTATGAAAGTTTTTTGTTTACCATCCGATCGGCCCCAAATTCATATTTAAAGATCTATTTTTAAATTCATTAAAGGGGTGTTTCACACTTTTTGAAAAATGCATTCCTCCTTGGTGGAAATAGAGGTCAAAGATTTGGTGGGTGACGTTTCGCACTCAAATTCATTTCCAGAGATCTATTAGAAAAATCATTTGATACGTGTTTCACACTTTTCGCAGAATTCAATCTTCTTCGGGGGGAATGCGATTTAAAGATTTTTTGGGCGGCGTTTTAAGTTGTGTCCGATTTGCTTCAAACTTATTTTTAAAGCTCTTTATAAGAACTTAATAAGTACGTATTTCAGCGATTTGGAAAATTCCACCCGCAACAGTGGTAAACTGGCGGAAAACGGTTGTATAAAAGTTTCTTGTTTACCATCCGATCGGCCCCAAACTTATTTTCAAAGATCTTTGTTTAAATCTTTGTTTAATTTAAGGGGTGTTTCACACTTTTCGAAAAATCCGGTCCTCCTTGGTGCAAATGGGGGTCGAAGATTTGGTGGATGACGTTTTGTGTTCAAATTTATTTCCAAAGATCTATACGAAAAATCATTTGAGACGTGTTTCACACTTTTTGCAAAATCTAAACTCCTTCGGTGGAAAATGCATTTCAAAGATTTTTTGGTGAATTTTAAGAGTTTTCCGATTTGCATAAAAGTTGTTTGATTCCCGTCCGATCAGTTTTAAAATCATTTTCAAAGCTTTTTTGATTTTATAACATACGTGCCACGGGCAAGGCCGGGTTATACCCGCCAGTAGGTAATAAGGGCATTATGTACTTGTGCAAATGTATGTAACAGGAAGAAGGAAGTATCTCCGACCCTATTAAGTATATATATTCTTGATCAGCATCACAAGTCGAGTCGATCAAGCCATGTCCGTCTGTCTGTCCGTCCTTCCGTTCGTCTGTCCTTGTGTATAAACAAGGATCTCAGAACCTATAAGAGCTAGAGACTGAAATTTTAGATGTTGCTCCTCTTAGTGCCCGCGCAGAACGAGTTTGTTTCCGTTATTCGATGACTTGCCCCGTTTCCAAGTAATCGATAAAAATCGATATCGAAATTCTGTTTTTTGAGCAAGTCTCTTATGTTTTAGGATCTAGAGTCAGCATTTTACATGTAGCTTCTTGAATAGTACGTAAGTTAACGAGTGCCCCTCGAACATTGCAGTTTAGTATTGTATAAACCACCCATGCATTAGCTTACTGTGGCGCGCATTGTGCTGATACAGCGATTGCTTCAGTTCAGCGCCCTGATGAATCGCAACGCTTAGCGGCGGTAACCTGATACCTTGCATGTGTCGCAAGAGCAGCGTTATTACTTATGCTGAGTCGGCCTGCCGGCTGTAGCTTTGTAGGTTAAGAATATTTGTGTCTCTTGCTTAGTTTATTCATTTTATTCCTGAGCCACAAGGCCAGCACTTTACAATGAGCAATCGAAATTTTATATCCATTGAGAGCCCTTCACTGGGAACCTAACAAGAAGGAAGTTTTAGACACCCTTAACTGGAGCATCGCGGACAAGAATTCTTAATTGGCGCCCAACAAGCCCAACCCTTTTGCCTACCGAATTTTATATAGAAAAAAATTTTAGATTTTAAAAATGAAATATAAACAAATCTCGAATTGAATTTGCCAGCGGCGAGTGCGTCGTAAACATTATTTAATTTTATTAGCTGAATTAATAATAATACAATTAAGACATTTCGCTGTTTACGCCGGTTGTGTTTACTCGGCTATAGTATTAGGAAATAAACACAAAGTTTATGCCTTATGCCGATTATTTAATATCGGCCATAACACAACAAACACGTATGTAAAATGTCAGATTTTTTTTGACTTTATGTTTGCGTTAATGCTGATGATTTGGTCAGGTATTTACAGAGAAGTAAAGGTAGAGTACGATAGTGACGACGAATGGGATATCGAACCAGGAAACACTACCGCGACGCGAGACATTACAACAGATATGGACGCTATCTAGATGCAACCTTTAGTAGGTGGCGCTATCTACCAAGCATTGGTCCAACTGGTGGCAAGGCTAAGGGAAGAGTTTA